CGAACAGTGCACCTTTCTATCCCCCCATTTAACTAACTATCGCCCCCCATTTGGGGACGCCCAATCTCGGGGGCCTCTCGCCGATGTATCCATCGCCGATTCCAGCTCGAGGTCTCCCCCCCCTGCGCTGCCCCCCCCCCCCCCCCCTCTGTCGTTGCCCCTCATCCAGGATGCAAGGGCACACTCGATGGCGCGAAGTCATCCGCGCTTCGCGGTTCAGCTCGGATCCCTCCCCGTTCTCCTCTTCTTCCCGGGGAGCGTCGCGGGAGCGCCAGCGATTCCCGCTTCGCCCCTCATCCAGGATTTTCCTTCCTCACAAGGCCGCGCGGCACCGCTCGGCTCGCGGCGCCCCGGGGGCTTCCGTGGATGCCGCATGGCCTCGCGTCGCAGTGCCGCGCGCCTGGGGGCGCTGCTGGCGCTCGCGCTGCAGCTCCAGGTGCTGCCGGAGGTGCTCTGGGCGGGCCCATTGAGTCCTCCTCCTTCTCCTCCTCCTCCTCCTCCTCCTCCTCTTCCTGTTCCTCCTCCTCCTCCTCCTCCTCCTCCTCCTCCTCCTCCTGCTCCTCCTGCTCCTGCTCCTGCTCCTCCTCCTACTCCTTGTTTCCTCCTCCCCTCCTCCTCCTCCTCCTCCTCCTCCTCCTCCTCCTCCTCCTCCTCCTCTCCTCCTCCCTCCTCCACCTCCTCCCCACCTCCTCCTCCTCCTCCTCCTCACTTCATCTCCTCCCTGCTCCTCGCCTCCTCCCTCCTCCTGCTCCTCCTCCTCCTGCTCCTCCTGCTCTCCTCCTCCTCCTCCTCCTCCTCTTCCTCCTCCTCCTCCTCCTCCTCCTCCTCCTCCTGCTCGTCGTCAGAAAACGGCGCGGGATGAGACACTTCGGCGTCGAGCCCAGGGAAGTGGGAGAAAGGGCGGGCCTTCCCTGAAGGGTCAGAAGTCCCATGGCCTGCTGTGAAGGTCTCTGAGCCTTCCCGAAGGAACAGAAGTCCCTCTCAGACGGACGGAGGGCTTCTGAGAAGCCCCGGCGCCCCGGGGAGAAGGTAGGGACTGCGGGGGGCCGCGCATTCAGCAGGACAAGACATCACATGTATGTAGAGTATGCTCCTGGGCCAGGTCCCCTGCCTTCCTATAGAGCTGCGCGCAGGAACCTGACAACTTCGCTGTCTGGTCTCTGGTGCAACTTTGGAGGTGTTGGCGCGTCGTCCATGGCGGCCAGTTGATCCCAAACAGACATTGCAGATTGAAACAGAAAGTGGAACACCGCCCGAGCGCTATGCGCCCTGGCCCTCGAGACCTGGCCCCCAAGGCATACTCAATATGTCTGGGCGCAGAGGGTATATGCCTCCCAGATGGGGCCCGAGTAGATGAGGATTGCGCCGCACCGCCGATGCGTCGGCGAGGCGGCGCGCTGCGGAGCCCGATGTCCTCCACTCCGACGGGCCGAGGCGGCGTCGATGCATCGCAAACGCATCGGTGATGCATCTCCGATGCATCGGCGATCCTCCGACCCCATCTATCTGGGGCTCCTAGATGGGGTCGGAGCACACGGGGTCGGAGGATCGCACCGCATCGCCGATGCATCGGCGATGCGGTTCCATGCGGAGCCTAAGTTTCGCTACGCTTACGGCGGCGATGCATCGCTGACGTCGCCTGTGCATCGACGATGCATCGGTGAGGTGGATCGCTTCACCGTGATCTTCGACGGTCTAGTTTTGTCTGTCTGGGCGTTGTCGGGGTGAGGAGGTCGAACTTTCTTGCACCATCCCAGGTCCCGTGGCTGAAGCGGGACTCCGCAGCCCGGATTCGGCTTGTTTTTTGTAGTCTGTTGTCGTCGTCCCCCCCCGCGACCCACCCCGCGACCAACCGCAGCCCGCCCCGCCCCCGCCCCTTCACTCTGATCCGCACTTGCGGGGGGGATGCGTATTCCTGTAATCTGCCTTCGGGGACTCGGGCCGTCAGGAACGGATCCGGGGCGAAAATCGGCGGCCAGCGAATGGGCCGGGGACCCTCTGGGACGGCGGGTTTGTCGGGGCAGACCGCTCCGGAAAACGCTCAGAGTGTTCCGGAGTGCTTCGGAACGGCCGCGGCGCCCGATGCATTTTGCAGAACCATTGGGCTCCTCAGTAGGAGGCCCCATGCGAACCTTACCCCACCACCCCACGATTTCTAAGGGGGGTGGTTGGGCGGGGTTCGCACGTGGCCTCCTACTCAGAGGTCCGCCATTTCTCCCGGTCCCCAGGATTTCCAGGGAGGCCCCCCCTCTCTGTCCAACGGAGGGGGGGAAGGCCCACGGCCCCCCATTTCTTCTGCCCCTTGGAAGCCACACCCCCACTCCCCCCTTTTCGCGCTCCGGAAGCTACCCCCCCCTCTCCCTTTCAAGAGAGGGGGGGGGGTAGCTACCTCCCCCCCCTTGGAGCCCCTCCACGGGGAAGCCCCCCGCGGCCTGCGGGGTATTCCCACGGAGCCCAGGGGCTCGCTTCCCGCCCGCTCCGCTCCTGGCCCGAGGGCCTTCCCCGGGACCTCGAGGGAGGCCTCCGGAGCGCCCTCGCGCAGCCCAGGCGGCGGCTTCACGCCCCCCCCCCGCCCGCGGCCCGCCCCGACGCCACCCTCTGGCTGGAGGGTTTCTCCCAGGGGCTTAGGCGACCCCTCCTCCTCCTCCTCCTCCTCCTCCTCCTCCTCCTCCTCCTCCTCCTCCTCCTCCTCCTCCTCGTCCTCCCCGTAGCCATTTTGGCTCAAGATGTCCGCTCTGGGGGGCTGCAAGCCTCCAGGCCGAGTGGATACCGCTATTCCGCGGCAGGCAAGGCCCGTTCGGGCCTGGCATTTGTTCTGCCTGCCACTCCAGGGGCTCTGCAGGCGGCCCAGTCGGTTCCATACTCATTCGTTGCTGCGATGGCGAAAGGTGTTCCTCCTTGGCATGCTGGCGGTGATCGCCGCTCAGGCTGGAAAGGAGGTCGCAAGGGTACTTGGGTGTTCCAGGCCGATGGCGAGTCTGACGCCTACGGCGGCAACAAGGGCGGTGACGGGAAGAAGAACAAGAAGCGCAACACTTACGAGGTCTGCGCCTCCTGTGGCCATTGGGAGTGGTCATATCATGGACATGCTTCCTGTTCGAAGTGCAACGGGGCGTATCGCAATTGGCTGCGAGGTGAAGGCCCCCCTGACCACGAAGGCGTTCTTGGAGGAGAAGGGGAGGGTGTGCCTCCCGTGCTGCGTGAAGCAGCGGCGACGGTGCTGGCTTATCGACCTGACTTGCATCTCCACATGTTGGGGCTCGTGGCGCAGGCCGAGCCCGCCCCTACGATGTCTGCAGCCCAGTTGGATGCGGCGGCGAACACTGAGAAGACACGCCTTGCTAAAGTGGCAGAGGAAGCAGCTCGTAAGGTTCGGGTGTGCTTGCAGGAGGTCGAGCAGAAGCGGACGAAGGTCAACAAGATGCGCGAGCAGTTGGATGAGGCGACTGACGCGCTGTTCACGGCTACGGCGGCGCAGGAGAAGGCGGAAACCGAGCGGAATGACGCTGACCGCATCTTGCGCGAGTTCAACCCCGAGCAATGGAAGGCAGCGCGGGCTGAGGAAGCTCGCTTGGCGGAGGAGGAGCGACAGCGGCAATTGCGGGCCGCGCCCCCCGCAGCTCCTGCTGTCGCGGGAGGGGCCTCTGCTCCCCGCGGCGTTCCTCCTCCCGGTGGCGCGGCACGGGGCGCCCAGCGGGGGGCTCCTGGCTGTGCTGCTGATGCTCGCCCTGCTGAGGGACCTGCTGAGGGACAGGGTGCCCAACCAATGCAAGTGGAGCCTCCCGACATGGCCAACATGTCAGCTGGGGTCTTCGAGCCTGGTGCGAAGAAAAGCGGCTCTCGCCTGACCTGTGGGAGGCCTTTCGCGCCATGCACGAGACCATTCATGCTGCTGACCTTGATGATGGCATGTCTGATGCTGGCAGTGAAGCCAGTGATGTTGGAGACCCCGCTGAGCGTGAAGAACTACTTGCCCTTCGGAAGCGAGGCCAAGAAGCCATCCTTACCAAAGAGGAGCACGACCGTCTCGAGCAACTGCTGCTGTGCAAGGCCAAGGCCAAGGCTACCAAGCGGCTCAAGACAGCTCGCGATGGGTTCAGCGCGAAGTTCAAGGAGGTGTTGTCGGCCGCGGCGGTGTCCATGCCCGTGGCCCCGCAGTTCGGGCAACGCCTGCAGCGCGGGGCCTGGGCCCCCTCCCACCCCCGTTCGTGGGCGGACGGAGGCCCCAGCGGATGGGATAATGGGGGAGGAGCGACCTGGGCCTCGGTGCACTGAGGCGCCGCTCGCTCCTGGTCATGGTCGCGGGCGCCCCGGTGGACCTCAAATTGGAGACGAAGTCCTTGCAGGACGCCCGCAAGTTGAGCAACATGGTGGAGCTGGTCTTCTGCAACATCACTTCCTGGTCTGAGGTTGCCAAAGATTTTGCTTCCCAGGTTCGGAAGGTGGCTGACGCCTTCCTCTTCTGCGAGCACCGTTTGCAGGCTTTCGCCCTTCCTGCGGCCAAGAGGGAGTGCGCTGCCATGAATTGGCGGCCGCATTTCCAGGCCGGCGTCCCAACTAGTGGGGGTGGGACTCACGGGGGGGCGGGACTTGTCGTTCGCAAGAGCTTGTATTTTAAACGGTTCTTGGCCCATGAGGGCACTGTTACTGACATTGGGTCAGGCAGAGGCTGGATGTTTCGGGAGTTGAAAACCAAACAGGCCGTCATGGCCATCGGAGTTTGTTACTTCGTCTCAGGCCTGGGGGTCTCCGGTGAGAATTTGTCCAAAATGAGGGGCGTTTCTGAGTTTGTTCGGGCTCTGGCCATCCCATGGCTCCTTGTGGGAGATTTCAACATCGAAGCTGAGACTATGAATCTCTGTGGGTTTCCTCAATCGGTGTTCGCGAGGGTGGTCGCGCCGAGTGATGCTGAGTTTACGTGCACCGCTGGAAGCGGCTCTACCATTGATTATGCATTGGTTTCGTATGAGTTGGCGCCCTTTGTGCGGATCAGCCTCTTCGAGCCCTCACCGTTCAAGACCCACCGCTGCCTTCGAATCCAGATTGCTCATGAGGTTCTGCAGCAAACCTTGTGTAAGCGGATTAAACCTCGTGAGTTGCCGTCTTGCCCTGGACCTGATCTTCCCTGGGGACGGCATGTTATGCAGGTGGTTGCGGCGGGTCCTGTTTCGCTCTGCCCTTGTCCTGCGCAGATGGAGAACCTCATCCCCCACGCGGCCGAGCATCTGTCTTCGCAGGTTTCGCTCCAGTACTTGGTCTGGTCGCAGGCGACGGAGGATATGTTTTTGTCTCGGGCATGTGCGGCATTGAACATTGATGATACATCGATGAGGGGACGTGGAGATTTTCTGCGGTTGAAGACGGCGACGGTTGCTCATCGTGGTGAATTGGGTACTTCGTATCGAAATCCGCAGTTGGCGTTCTGGTCGCATTTCTCTGCCAAGCTGTTCGAGATGCGCACTTCCCTGAGGAGACGTGCTGGGGCACGAGGTGCCGTTCCAGGTCTTCCAGGGGCTGTGGGTACCTCCTCGCCGCAGTTGCAGCTGGATTCGACCCGAAAACTTGCTTGTCCGAACGCGCCCGGTGCTGGGCAAGGGGCGGTTCCGGAAATGGCCCCAGCATGTTACGGGGAGCGCTTGCCGGAACACGCTGAGTACATCGGCCTTTCTCCCTCTCGTCCCCCTCTTCCTCCTTGAACTCCCCCTCCCCCCCCCTTTTGTGGCCCTTCCTCTTCCTCCCTCCCCTCCCCCGCGTTGTCCTCAGCACGTTCCGGGGAACGCCTCCCGGAACGTGCTGGTGTTAGTTTCTGTTCCCCACTCTCGACGCCGAAGCTGAGGGAGCGCAAGTTGTCTGCACTCCTCCTTGGCTTAGTTCCTCGCGTCGCTGGATTTGCCGCAGTTTTGCCAGAGGCCCAGTCGGCCCCCTGGTGGACTGATCAGGTCACCGAGGATGCGCTCGCGGACCCCCTGGCGGTAGATCGACTGATCGCGATCACTTCTGAGGTTCTCCAGCGGGCCTGGACTGCAGCTAAGGCGGAATCCAAGAAGAGCATCAAGTCTTGGCTGATTAAAGCGATCCCTTATGGGGCTAAGGGGGTCCACGCCTGGTTGAAACGGGAAGCCAAAACTTCGGTTGAGTACTTTAGCCCCCCGGGAAATGTGTTGCAGCTTACTGAGGAAATGATGATGTACCGTGCTCAGGTTTGGGGCGAGTATTGGGGCACTTCTAATGAGGAGCTCTTGAGGCTAGGTGACGCCATGTCTGACCTCCGTGCGGAGGCCCTTGCTCACGTCCAGGATCTCGAACCCCTTGAGGTGAAAGATTTGCATGTTTGTCGTTTTTTTCCCTGCTGGCACGGCCGCAGGGGTTGATGGGTGGCGCCCCCGCGCGTTGCTCGACCTGCCTCTTGAAGCTCAGGAGGCCCTTGTGTCGTTGTATCAGCAATGCGAAGCCCACATGATGTGGCCAGCTCAAGTGCTGATGGGGTTGATTGCCCTTCTCCCCAAGAGTGCGACCGACGAGAGGCCCGTGTGTAAATGCCCCACCCTGCATCGGGTTTACACCAAGCTTAGGGGGAAAGATGTTGACACTTGGACCGCTGAGCATGTGGCCTTTTGGGACACTGCTGTGAAGGGGTCCTCTGCCCTCAAAGCCAGTTTAGTGCGGGAATTGTATCACGAGTTTTCCCTCCACGAGGGAACGATCTCGGCGGCGCTTCACTGGGATTTGAAAAAGTTTTTGGACACGGTGTGCCCTCGGAAGTTGATCCGTTTCGCCATGCGCATGGCGTATCCCCCCCACCTCCTGTATCTTGGGATGTTGATTCACACCTCCCCGCGGATGCTCGAGGTTGAAGGTCATGTTTCGCCCGTGATTGGGGCTGGGACTGGGGTTCTTCCAGGGTGCTCCCAAAGTATGGCCTGGGTGAAAATCTATATTTATGAGGCCTTGGAGGCCTGCCACTACACCCTTGAAGGGGATTTTTCGAAGGTGCTGACCCGAGCGTACGTGGATGACATCTCACAGAATATGCATGGTGACGAAGACCTATTGCTCGCTCAAGTTTTGCCTGCTGCTGTCCGTCTCGGCCATGAGGTGGAGAAACTTGGCTGTGTCATTAGCGGCAAGTCGGCCTTAGTTTGTTCTTCTAAGGCTGTGGGCGAGCGCATCGCCAACAGCCTCCGCACCGCCGGCCTTCCCATTAAGTTTTCGTCCGAAGCTCGGGATTTGGGATCCACCACGACGGCGGGGCGTCGGCGGAAGGTTACCGCGGTGAGAAAGCGGAGGCTTGAAGCTCGGAGGCGGGCCTCGAAGGTGCGTTATCTCTCTAGGATGTATCAGAGGGCGGCTAAATTGTATAAGCCGGGGGTGTTGGCCGTCGGGTCCTGGGGCCACCAAGTTGTTGGGTTTTCCCCACGCCAGCTGCAAGTGTTTCGGGGTCAGGCCGCTCAATGCTCGGGGTGGTGGACTCCTGGGGCTTGCTCTACCACTGTGCTCTCGCTGGTTTGTAGTACTCGCGGGGATCCTGTGTTTCGATTGAGACTCGAACACTTGGTCACGTATTACGATTTGTGGTTGGCCTTGGCCCCTCATGAAAGGATGAAGGTCTCTCGAGTGTGGAAGGCTGCCACCGACCTGTTTCAAAATGTGCCTGCCAACTGCCGGTGGCGGAGAGTGCGGGGTCCTGTCATTGCCACCGTTGCTGTCCTGTTGGATTTGCAATGGGACCCTGTTTCCCCCTGCCTTTGGCATGATGAGTTCGGTTTCCCCCTGGATCTGGATGCGTTGGATTTTCGTTTCCATGTGTGGAGGGCCCTTCGGGTCTCCTGTGCCAATTGGGTCTGGGGGAAAGCGTCGGGCCATTACCTTGGGGGCGGGGTCCAGGCTGGGGTCGATTTCACCACCCCCCAGAAAATGTTGAAACAGTTTGGCAAAAACCTCGATTATGAGTCCCAGGCCATTTTGAGAACTACCATGGTAGGCGGCTATTGGACAGAATCTCGCCTATTCGATGCGGGGTATTGCGCGTCTCAACTTTGCCCGCGGTGCGGGGTGGAGCCAGAGACGCCCGTGCACCGCTTCTGGAAGTGCTGCGCCAATGACCAGATTGACAGCCGGGCCGTTCAGGCCACTGCTTATCTTGCCCCGACTGCGATCGAGGAAAGTGAATCCCTCCCCTCCCTCTGGCTCCGGGGCCTGATGTCCTTGGAGCAGGCCGTGAGTGGTCTCCCTGCCCCTGAGGTTCTGCAGTGGTCCTTTGGGGTGCTCCAAGGGGACAACGTGATCCAAGGGGGCGTTTGGGGCATCGACGGCTCGGGGGGGAAGGACACTAAGGATTGGCGACTAAGGAGGCGCGGCTGGGGCGTTGTCATGCTGCACCCCAATGAGCGGGAGGTCGGTGGCGGCATGTTTGGGACACTCCCCACGGGTTTCCAGAGCTCGCCGCGCGCCGAGTTGTACTCCTTGCTGGCCGTCCTCTTGAAAACGGAGGGCAACATCTTGGTCTTTAGTGATTATCTGCCAAATGTTCGCAATTTTCGGAAGTCCAAG